TAAGGACAGACACTGCTACATGTAACTGAGGAGAGGTATAGAAACCTATCTTCAGAATAGCTTTGGGAAAAGAATGGACAGTGTTCTTTAGCTGTCCTTAAATCCTGCTGGATAAAGGCAGCTACTACATGCAGCTCTCCTCTGTTCATGTGAATCTATGTTATGTTAAGCTCCATATTCCATATAAACAAAACTCTTCACCCTGAATGCAAAACTACCTTATTGGGAGAAAGGGATGTCACAGCATCCTGAAAAATCTCATTTCATAGCTGTCACTCAAAACAGAAAATCTACCAATAGGCTCTAAACAATGATCCAGGTCTGGCTCAAGTAGTACAGTTTCTGTCTAGCAAGCAAGAGGCCCTGAGTTCAAACTGCAGTACTGCCAAAAAAAAGAAAAAGAAGAAGAAGAAGAAGAAGAAGAAAGAAAATTAAACAATAACCTAATGTCAGCTGGCCATCCAGAAACTCAGACATCTCTGAATATTACATAACCCATGTAAACATGTACATTTTTCTAGGGAGTAAGCAGAGATTTCATCATATTTTTCAATAGGGTTTATAGCTCCAAAAAAAGTGTTAGCACCATTGTCCAATTTATTTGAAATAGTACTGCCCAAGCTAAAAAATAACAGATGGTTTATTTAAAAAAAATAAAATAAATGGGTCCTTTAGGGCCTCTGATTCTAGTGTTCTTATTTTGAGACCATGTTGTTAAAAAAAACAAAACAAAACAACTATTTGCCATCATTCCAGTTTAACAGATTAGCAAACTAAATTCCTAAGGAATTAAAGATATATCTCACCTAAGGAAAAATGAAACATTAGTAGGTTAGAACCAAAGGTTAAAACACTGTTCTTAGTATGCCTGTCTCCCACTGCTAATCCCTTCCATGTCCTAAATAAATCCCACAGGCCAAGCCCTGTGTTGAGCACTTTATATATATGACTTACTTAAACATCATCACAACTCTGCAAGATGTTTCCTAATTTCTCTTTCTCTCTCTCTCTCTGTCGCTCTCTCCCTCTCTTGATTTTTTTCAATTTTATTTCAATGGAATCATACATTTATATAAATTCTCTTTTCTCATTTTTCAATTTGAGGAAACAGAGCTCAGAAAAGCACAATTGCCAAAGACTACAGTCCTGATAAGTGTTAAGGAAGGGATGTGATTCCAGGCCTGTCTGTCTCCCAAGTTCTACACTGGGACATGCTCTAAACCTTGGAGGAAAACTTGTCTTCATGTCAGGGACAGTTTCTTAGACATCTTTGTATTCCCCACAGTGACTTACGGCACTTTGCATGGCAAGGCACTCTATAAATATTTGTTGGATGAAGAAAACTGGGCTCAGGCTCCAGTTCTGCCATGGATTTAGTGACTCAGTCTCCTGTAGCTTGGAGCTGCAGGTGGTTACTCAGCTGGGCGACTTCAGGGAACATTTGAAATCAATTATGGGTGCGGAGGAACCTATTAAAATTCTCTCTTTTGTGTATGTTGGGGTTGAAGGTGAGGAAAGGAAGTTGAGACAGAGGAAAGGCACAGGATGGTTTCGGGGTTATGTCTAAAGCTCAAGGAGTTCACACCAGAAGAGGACAGAATTTGGCTTATTCCACTACTCACTTCCAATGGCCCAACTGAATAGGCTCCTGACCTCAGGCTACTTCAAGGTGGCCACATAGCCTGAATTGCCAGACTCTTGACTAGTTATTTTTATGGAAGACACTGGAGTGGAGTAGTTGCATTCTTTCCTCCTCTATGCCTTAATTGGTCTGCTTTAGCTGTGGGAAATAGGCAACTTCAGAAGGTTTACCTTTCAGGAAGAATGAAGATTCCTCCTCCAAGGGCCAAGAAACCTTTAATGCCTAAAGTATGTGATCTCTGCATTGTTCTAGATCTTCAATAAAAGTATTCTTGCAATCCACTCTGGAGCCAACTTCCTATTTTGGAAGAATATTGGAGTTTGGGGTAGAGGGAGAGAGGTAACTAGTTGATTTTGTTTTCTTTACTAGTTGACAGAAATACAAGTTAGGCACAACCCCCAAAAAGCCCCCTCCCCAAAAAAAGACTTATACGAAGCTGACCCCAAAGGATGCCTACCAGTAACATTTTGGGAAGGATGATTCAATTACAGCCCAGAGGCCAGAGCAGGACAAGAATCCAAGAAATCAGAAACATTCTTCATTATGGTGCTTACTACTGTCCTGTGTATGAAGCAACACTGCCACCTAGTGCCCCGTGTTGGAAGTATTCCCCAAAGCCCCACATCTGGGGGTAGGGGGTTCCCCAACAATGGCTGGTGTAACTGAATTACTTGACTTCTCTGTTGAAGAGAAAATACTCTAAGTTTGGTAGATGGAAGACTTGGAAACTGGGTTTGAGTTAAGTAGGTGGAAGGTAAGGATTGAAAGCTGCTGGAAGAGTGTGGAAGTCACGTCTTGGGCACCTTGTTCTGTCCTCAATGGAGCAGCAGAATTGTAACAGTTGAATTGTATGTAGCTCCCAGAGACTCAATTCTATTTGTCATTTTGCATATTTGAAGGTCAACCACCCCAGAAACAGGTAGTGACCAACCCAAAGACTGTGCCAAAGAAGACAAGCTGTCTATCAATAGGTGTGAGTAAATTTGTGCAGATTTATTTTTATTCCTAAGGAAAACTTACTTTGGCAACTTCATGGTCCTCACCCATAGAATCCACAGGTAAAGTGTAAGCAGATAAGACAATGAGTAGACATGGATACCTAAACTCTCAGGGATTCCCACTTGCTAGGATCTTAAAGAATAGAGACTTTGTTTTCAACTTCTATCTCTCAGACTTTTACCCTAGGTCTTTACTGAATACTTCCTGATATGCACAAAGGGACAGAGTGAAAGGTAAGGAAGGTAGACCTGGATGATTTCTGCCCCAGACCTTCCTGGAGAAGACCTAAAACGAAACTCCCAGAATACCACAGGGGCCACTTTGCTTTGAAGAAAAGGAAGCCTCAGAAGCTAGACTATCTTAAAAAGATTCCCTGGCTGATTTTACAAGCTTGAAGAGGTTAAGAGAGTTCAGATGAACACTGAGTGTGTGGTGTGAACACTCAGTATGTGTGGCAGTGTGGAGGGCAGTTGATGATGGACAGATGGGACAGGCAGGGAGACACATAGGGTGGGAGTGGGAGAAGTGTGACAAAGAATGCTAGAATTGGAATCAAGTCATAACTACAGTCTTCTCTGTGCAGAGAAGAGACACAGGAACGACAGGACAGGAGCCAGGAGCAATGGTCCTGAATCTGTTCCCCAGGTTTGGGTTTTAATAACTTGAACCAATAACCACTCAGAGCCTCCCACATATATTCCTGTTGGATCCATTGCTAATTCCTCACAGCCAGGGAACAGATCCCAGGTCCCTATGTTGCTACTGCAAGAGGAGGGGCAAACAGAGTTGTGGGTCTCAAGTCTGAGCTGCAAGCACACAGTCTCCCTGGCAGATGGGTACAGGAAGCAAGATTAGGCAGCAAGAAGATGTCATCTGGGAAAACTGTGAAACTGCCAACTCTGATCAGATAATCATCTCATTATTTCCTCAATTTGGCCCCAGAAGGATTTCCTTCTATTCTTTCTCTGCCCCCACCTAACTTAGAGCCCAGCCCTCTAACTTTCCCCTTCCCTTACCCTCTCCCCCACTCAAAAATAAAATAGAGCAAAACCACAAGACTCAAGAGTGCTCAGTGTCTGGGAATCCCAGCTTCCAAAGAAGAAATCACAGCCAAAGAGGGGGAGACAGAGTGTCCGGAAGGGATGTTCCAGCAACACCCCATTGGAAGAGGCTCTTTCCTTCCAGATTTCTTTCTCTCGTCTGAAACTTGTTTGCAGGCATCCACCAATCCGAAAACTTTTTAATTTGGAGACTTGTCAAGCAGCTCAGGGATTCTGGAGTTCTATCCCCAGCATGCCTCTGAGACGCCACTCATTGCCTCAGTTTCCCCATCAATATAATGGGAACCTCAAATATCAAAGGGTGTGGTAGAAAAATCCAAATTAATAAGACTAAATGGTTCTACTATTTGCCTTGCTTTGTGTTAGGTTCCATAGTGAGGAACCCAAAAGGACAAAGAGACACTAAATGATAAAATATAAATTCTAATCTTTCACCCCTTGCTCGAAATCAATCTCCCCAGGAAAGCAAAAGGAGACAGCTACTCCCAACCCCACTCTTACTTTTCCTTGCCCTTCTGGATGACTTTCAGCAAAAGCCAAGATCTGGGTATACGGGGGAAATAAATATAGGTAATATTCCCAGACAAGTGCCTCTAGATAACATCATGGAGTTATATAAGGTTTTTTTGTTTTTGTTTTTTTTAGGTTCTTGTAACAACCTCCAGGGCTAGAAGAAAGGATCCTACCCACCTTTCCATCAGACCTTGCTGTTCCTAGGCTATACGCATGGCTGTTGAGACAAAGTGAAAGGGACCCCAGAAAGTAGAACAGGTGCTGCCTTTCTGCCTGGCTCCAGAGCTGCTCAGAGAGCAAGTAATAAGCCAGGACCCAATGGCTGTGCACCTGGCAGCCTTGTTCCTTCACTGCCTGGACCAGCCTGGGCATGACTCAGGTTCTTGGACTCTCATCTATTTCAAAGTTGCCTGGGTACCCATACTGGACCAAGAGAAACAAAAGTGACACCCTTTTCCCTTTGATAAAGAACTAGAGTCCTTTCCCTTTAAAGAAGGTAAGAGAGCTAAGCCAAGTCCTAAGTGCAAGCACAATGTATAGAACTACATGAGATCAATACATGGGGCAAATGCTGTTATAGTTAGTAGGCTACTGTCTTCTTGATGGTGCCAGAAATGCTGCCTTGCAAATAAATAAAGGTCCTTCTCCTCCCCCTTCCTGGCCAACTCTTCCTGGCTTTCCTGTTCTGACCCTTTCCCCCTTGTTGCTCCCTATGTTTAACCCCAGCAGAAATGGAGTCAGCCACACCCCCAGTACCTCAGAAAAACCCAAGAGTGGGTTATTACCTGCAATGATGGCTGGGTTGTTCTGGCCTCCCTCTGGCCTCACCCATGCTTCCACTGTGAACGCCTCCCGGGGAATCTCAGCCAGCACTTCTGGACGCAGCAGCAACCGCTCCCGCCTCCCAGAGAAGTACAAGACAGGCAATCCTCCTTGGGGGTTAAAGGTCTCTGCTTCCCAGTTGGGGACCCCTCCACCATTTTGGATGCTGTCCTCCATTGGACTGTTTCTAACCCCGTGTTTAAGGGGGTGCTTAGGCCAAGGTTGAAAACGTGATGGAGAGACGTGGGGGTCTCCAGGCACATCTTCTGCCTGCCTCTTTACCACTTGGTGAGGATGCCTGGACTTGGCCCAGCCCTTCCTTTGAGTCTCTGCTCTGGGATCCTCCAGGTGTGCGAAGGTAGTGGCAATGGAGGCAGCAGTAGCTAAGCTTCCCGGAGTTGCTGCCTCACCTAGAGACGCCTTGGATCCTCGGTTGCCAAGATAAGTGTCATCATCTCTCAGCAGCTCAGATTGCCCAATAGGACCATCCCCTACCCATGGGGCAGCTGGCTGCTCTGCCTCCCTCCTCACTCCTGCTGGCTTTTCAGTAAGGTCTTGGGGAACAAGGCTCATAGACTGTCCCTTGGTATCTGATTTACTGTGTCCAGCATGATAGGTTTCCTGCTCTCTCACAGAATAGGGCCTCAGGTAGTTTCCAGGTCTGCTGGGATAGACCCCAAAGAGGTGATGCTGGGGAGCAGCTCTGGGTCTTCGAACTTTGGCTCCCAGCCAACAGCGTTCTCCTTCCAACAGCACCTGATTTAGGTATGCCCTCTGGGTCAAGGATTTCTTGTGTGTCCAGCCCAGTTCAGAGTCAGCAGTATTGAATGCCCACCCAGCCAGGATCACCAGGCTCATTCTCAGAATCTTTAAACACATCATACCTCCCTCAGCTCTTCCCTTAGAACCAGAAGACAACTTCTGGGTACCACACCAGAATGATGGGGAGCGGAGGAAGAGACAGGTAGCAATGGATTTGCAGTCACCAGGGAAACTGTTTCATTCACAAACCAAACTTTGTCAAGTAGCCTGAAAAAGTGCCTCTCCTGGCTACCTGTGCTGGAAACTATGCCAGCTCAGCGTGGCTTCTCTGCAGCTCCCACTGTGTGTGTTTCCCTCACCTTCGCCCTTGACCTCTCTTCTTGCTCTATTTTAGTCTTTGAAAAATGAAGTTAATTGCTCTTGCTGCCTTTGAATTTCCTCCCAAAGAGCTCAGGTTTCTTTTCTTTTTCTTCCTTCTTCAGTAACCCCTCCCCTCTTAATAGAAGTGCATGACATAAGCCAAATTCTCTCAAATACACACTTAAAAATACATACCCCTTGCTACCTGAAGTCATTCAAAATAGTCTTGTTCTCAAATTTTTCTTTTTTTCTTCTTTCTCTAGGAGTTACTTTCTCTTTTTGTCACCCTTAACCCAAAATATGTTCAGCTTATAATAAATTCCTAGAAAAACTTTTATATAGAGATACACAATTTGATGCTTATTGTCTAAAAATGTAAAAAGAATCTGGGGACACAAAAACCCAAGCAAGTACTTAACTTTCACTCTCCAGATGTTCTCAGCCAGGTCCCCATCCAGCTTCCAGTGGTTCTGTGCAGGTTAGAATGACCTCTTCAGCTTGGAGCTTGGGGTTGTTGATTGTTGAAGGGTTTCTTATCCCCTTCCAACTTGTTGGTATGTTGCAAGTCTCTGTAAAGTTCTCCTCTGGGTTGCCAGTCTGCTGTTCCCCTGACCAAAGGAGTCTGAGAGTCCTTGACTTCACCTTCTAGGAGCCTTGTGGGTCCCTGGGAAGATGGAAAAAAGGACAGAAAGAAGAGCATATACTTCGAGGGACCTGTTCCCTCCGTTTTCTCCTGCTCCCGTTCTCTCCCTGTCTCTCTGCCTGTAATTATCTTCTTGTTTTTTTTTTTTCATCTAAAGACAATGATGATGTCAAAGCTAATAAGTTTGGTGCATCACTCCACCTACTCCCTGTGCCCTCCTTCTTCCTGAAAAACCTCCCCACCTCACTGAGGCACAAGGGACAGTTGCCGCTCTTGGTTTCCCCAGTAAACCTCTCAGGCTTTCTCTTTCAGCAGCCGCAGCCTACACAATCAATAGCAAACAATCAATGCCGTTTTGGAGCACTCTTTTTTCCTGGGTGTTCTCTCTCTCTGTCTCTCTGTCTCTGTTTCTCTCTTTCTCTCTCTTCTCTCTCTCTCTCTCTCTCTCTCTCTCTCTCTCTCTCTCGCACACACACATGCACACTCATACACACATGTGTTTTGAATAGACCTGCTTAATAAGCCCACACTAGCCTTTTAGGGACCTCTTGCATCTCTTTCTTTTGTTTTGTCATAAGCCTGTATTATTTCTGATTTCAATCAATCATTTCAGATTTAAAAGAATGATACCTAGATTCACTTCACATTGTTCACATTGGACTTTGGAGGAAAGGAGAAATCAGTTACCCTTCTATGAGAAGCAGTAATGGAAATGCCATGCATTCGTAATACATAGATCTTTTTCTCTCAGGAGTTTCTCAATCTAAAGTTAACAAAAGTCACTGTATGCTGAATGAGCAAATAAACAAATGAGATGTTCAAAATAAGTAATTTACAAGAATGAATCTCTAAACTCAAGCAAGTGCTTTTTTCAATTCATTTGAAATGAATGGGTAAGATGGGGGAATTAATACTGTGATTTTTAACCTCTAATGTTTGCCTAGATGTTAGACACCAGCTTTCTCAAGGGGTCCCCATCCTTTGCATGCATGTGCCTGTACACAAACACACACACTTACACATAGACACACACATGCAACGTGGTTCTGAATTCTCAACACAAGCGTACTTGACCACAGGTGGTACAAAACAGGTAGAGAAATACATTGGATTCTTCTTTCAAGTAATAAGAAAAAATTACTTGTACTTTTCAAATCACTGCTTGTGTTGCCCTCATCTAAAACAGGCAGCCCACACACTTTGGAGTAAGATCACACACTGCCTCCTTCACCTTGGGTCTCCTCATTGTCTTCTAAATTCCTCTACCCCAGCCAGTAACTGACTTATTTGTTTTTAAATGCTGTATGCTATGCACCCCATCCCCAGCATGCCCTGTTTTCCCTTGTAGTATCCACTGGAGCCTCAAACTAAGTCCCCAGAGAAGCTATCAGTTCAGGCACGTGGATATTACTAAGCAGATAGCCCTCAGTCCTCAACTGTCCCTTTCGCTTTTATATTTCCTTTCACTTCAGAAAAGCTCCCTTCACTTTTCTGACTCAATTTTCTCTCTCTTTTTTTTCTCTGAAGCAGATGAAGAATAAAAAATGAGACTGGGGGAAGCATGTACAGAAAGTCAGAAAATAAAAGGAGGGAGAGAGGAAGAGGGAGTAAGAAAGAGACAGACAGACAGAGAGACAGAGAGAGAGAGAAGAGGAGTCTTAAGGGGAAGATACTCAGGTAAGAAAAAGAGAAGTCAACTTTCCCCTCCCCCATGCCATCCCAAGGACCCTCAGTAAAAGGATTCCTACCATTCATTTCAGGAAGGAGGGATAATACAGCAAGGAAGAGGATTCCGCCTGCTTTTCTCCCCCTTTTAGTGTGTAAGTGATCTCGCATCCCCTATAGGTCTGTCCTGGCTCTCAGCTGCTAGTAATCCATTCATAAGGTTTCAAGAGGCAACACACAACTCAAGCTTCCAGTTTAGTTTCTCTCTCTCCCCTTCATTCCTCTGCTCACCACTCTCCTTCAGCTCTTGGCAGTCCAAAGTTTAAAAAAAATGTTGAACCATTTCTGTGTTTTCCTCCTGTTGTAACTTTGGCTGTGACATCATAACCCTGCCCACCAACACCCCACCTCTCTCCCTTTCCATCCCCCTCATCAGCCCCATGCCCCCAAACACTCCCCCACCCACGGAAAGAGGGCTCCTGTCAGTTCCAATGTGTGAAAACACAAAGCTCCTGGAAGGTGCCCCTCCCTCCCCTCGGTGCCCCTCCTGCCTCCCCTCCCTGCCTTACCCACCGCTCAGCCCGGCTCTCAAGGCTTTTAACAATGATCCCATCTGTTTGACATGTGCGGAAAGGTGGGCTGGATTCAAATAATCTGTCAAGTGAATCAGATCAAAAACACAGCACCCCCTCCTCAATTCCATCACACACACACACACACACACACACACTGAACCCGAGCAAAAGTGTGAAAGAAGTCAGACTTACACAGCACCCACCCTCGATGCCAGGGAGAAAGACACCAAACATGCCAAGGGAAGCCCAAATTTATACATATATAAATTCAGTTGCTTATTTGTTTATGACAAACACCCACACCCCAAGTCCTCAACCCCTCTCTCTCAAACCCTGTCACTCCGCAAGTGCACAGATTTGAAAGCTGGTAGAATCTGTTTTGAAATCTCCAACGAGAGGGTTTTTCCCCCTTTTTTTTCACTCCAAAGCACTATCTGTGGCGATCAGACTCGAGCAGGGTTGCCAGCAAATGCAGGAGGCCCCTTCTAGGGTACAGGCTTTCAAACCAGCAAAGCTAGAGGGAATGAATTTAAGGACACGCAGCAGGAGCTGGCTGAATTCATTTTATTTTGACGGGGGTAGTTTGGGGGAGGAATATCATTTCTGAAATGCCCAAAGAATGAAGGGAGAGGATATGGATTTCTTAAACAGTTTTTGCAAGAGGAGCGGTGTCTTGTTCTGCAGGTAAATCTATAAGGCAAGAAATTGGAGCTTACAGATAAACAAGGACCAGGACTGAGAGGGAGAGGGAGGAAAAAGGAAAAGAGGAAAGAGAGAGGCGGAAGAAAAGGGGATGAGGAGATGGGAAAGTGGAGAGAGAGGACAAGGGGTAAAGAGCAGAGAGGGACGAGGGAAAAGAGAAGGGAAGGAAGAGGGAGGAGAGAGGAAAGAAAGGGGAAAGGGGAAGGGAGGGAGGTGAGAGGGAGGGAGGATGGAAGGGGAAAGGAGAGAAATGGAAGAGGGAGGACAGGAGTACTAGAAAAAAGAGAAGAGTCTGGGAGGGGAAGGGACTGAAAGAGAGAAGTAGTGAGAGGAGAGAGAAAAATGAACTGGAGTGGGGGGGCAGAAAAAAAGAGAAAGAGGTGGTGAGGCACATAAAATATGGAGACCAGGAAGGCAGTTAGATCCATAATGGGTAAACATAGAAAAATCACAGAGGCAGGTGAAGGGAGACACTATAAAATGGGGCAGAGAAAACAAAGGACACTCAGTAGAGGGACTGTCTCTTAATGATGAGACACATTTTAAAAAATCATATTACAAGGCGTTATGTCCTGAAGGAAACCCTTATTCCCTCCTCCTCCCTCTCTCTATTTCCTCCTCTGATACCCACCTCCACCTTCTTTCTTTCACCTTTGTGTTCCTAGCATATCTTCTGGAGAATGCATGAATAAAATTCAGAAACCTACCCACCCTCCCCCTAACAAAACACCCTTAAGAGCCCCTTTCTTTGTTCTATCCATAAAGGTCCTCTTATCTACTTTGGGCTGTTTGTGATCATCTGCACTTGATTTCCACCCAAATTATATGATGTTTCTTTTAAGCCCAGGATATCAGGGGTATTTTGCTTGTATTTACTGCCATGGTGGGGCTGGTTAGTTCCCAGTAGCATTGCCATCATTATTTGGAGGCTTTGAGCAAAGAGAAGAGTCAGTACATGCTGGTGTCCACCTGCAAAATTACCAGAGGAAGAGAGAAAGAAAGAGACCTCTTAATATGGTCGCTGATCCTCTTTGACTTTCTAATTCCAAAATCTGATCCCTTGAGGGAAAAGCTCAGCTGGGAGTCAGCCAAAGAGTGTAGTAATAAAACCCTCACAAAACCAAATGCAGTATCTATATATAGGAGCCAGATCTGTTTTAGCTACTTGCAGTCTA